TGTGACCTTGAAATTGACCTTTGACCTACTTTTTATCATGAACTGAACTCTGCTAATTTCTTTCTCTTTTAACTTCAAACTTGACAGAGATAGGTCCATAGTTACTCTTGAACTTGAATAGGAAGTCATATACTGGCAATTTACTGTGACCTTGAAATTGACCCTTGACCTACCTTACGAAGAACTTAAATTTGATTGTACCATATATATTTTTTGCAATAGTTTAAAAATTCTTGTTGATTGCATTTTTACAGCTTGTCAAGCACAAAACTGGTGGCTGTGTCCCTTATTTTGTGTATGTTGGGATCTATACGAATGCGCTTGCTCCAGCTGGTGGTACAATATTCGGAGGCGGTATCGCCTCTCTGATCCTCTAGTTCAATACTAAATATATGAAAAAGAGGACTATTGTCTAGGGAAAACAATGTTCACTACTGTATTAGATAATAAAGACATATTCAAACATAACATGGAGAAATTTTGTTGAATGTTAAGTTTTAAAGGAACACAGCATATCCTTTAAGATTATATGCTAGAATGTATATATTATGTCCATCTAGAAAACAATACAACTAAAATGAATTACTTAGAATATAATTTACATTTGTTGCTCTAAAACATGTAAATGTTCTCAGGGTGGGAAGTTAAAACTACTAGTATGCTTGAACCTCAGTCAGTATAATGGTAGGGCTGACTTAAATCAGTTTTTTGGCAGAAATTTTCAGTTTACAGCCAACTTAAAAATGTCTTGCCTTGTTAGTATCAATGGATAATATTTTTTCAACTTCATAAGTTAGTATTTGCGGTGTCCATTTCCAACAAAGTTGAACTCTATGTTTGCAAAATGTTAAACTATAATGTTGATTCAATATTGTTTTAAATTTGCTGTTCTTGCTGGGTAAAAGTAATCTTATTCATTGTATTCTTACAGATCCAACTTGTCAAGGACTCCTCTTATCTTGATGAAGCCTTATCAGAATTGGGGCTTCAGGAAAAGGATGTCAAGTACCTCAAAAAAGGGTAAGACTGAGAGAGAGAGAGAGAGAGAGAGAGAGAGAGAGAGAGAGAGCATTTTGTTTCAATCTTTAGCAAGCAATTGGTCTCCAGCACCAGGGATTTCGCTGTACATGTCAGAAACAGATTTTCAGCTGATGGAAAGTAGTATGTATTTGTGCATGTAACAGGAATGACTTTGCTAATGTAAGTTTTAAGCTTCACAAGAGTAAGAGAAAACCACACAGAGATTCTGCTTTCTAGTAAGGACTTTATTGAACAGACCTGGTCACCCCTGAATCTCAGTCTCACTCTCACTGCCTTCTCACTGACTGCTGTAACTCTCACTGACTGCTTTGAAGATTCAAGGAGGGGGGGGGGATACATGAAGATGAAAGGCATTTCTTGTAACAAAGGAATGCCATCCATATTATATTAAAGTAGGTCTAGGGGGATATCATGTCCCTTAAATTTGTGTCCAGACAGTATGTATTGACATGCCTGTCCAGTAGTGGTCGTTGTTTATGGGCTGGATACAGTGTGTCCCAACATTCATGTGAGAAATGTAATGGTACTTTAAAATGATATCTATATAATTCAGTAGTGTGATTAGAGATGTGTCATGTCGGGTCATTTCTGATCCTACCCTATTATTAGGTATATGAATTACAGCATCAAAGTACTTATGAAACTTCTCTAGCATCAAAATGGTTGTGAATCATGAAAGAATGAGATGGCATTTGAACCCAAAATGGAGATTTTATTATGTGATATCATTTTCTATTTTTCATTCCAGGAAATTTCTTATGCCTGGTTTGATTGACACCCACATCCATGCTTCCCAATATGTCTACACTGGCACAGCCATGGAGTTACATCTGCTTGATTGGCTGAAAAATTATACATATCCCATTGAAGCAAACTTTGAAGACCTCAAGTTTGCTGAAGATGTGTATCAGAAGGCTGTAGTAAGTTTATATATAAAGGTTATGGTGGACATTTTTTTATGAAATGGTCTAGTGCCTCACTTTTTTGGACCTTTTATTTATTTATTTATTTATTTATTTATTTATTTATTTATTTATTTATTTTACCTTGTAGGTTTTGATTGAGCCCATAGAATGGCTGATAGAATTGGTTATATCCAGCTGTATTCTGACACCCCAAAAATTCCCCCTTTACCTTTGATCTTATTTTACAAATAACTTGTTATTGCAGTCTAACCTTGGCATTTGGTTTTGCTTTTTAGTATCCAAACATACCGGTATATGCCACAATCATAGTTATAGTAAATGCCACAGCCAGTTATTGATGGAATTGAGGTGCTGGAATATACAAAATTATTACACAGCAATATAATATTGACTGTGCTTAACCCATATATAAATTGTCTGTAGATATGCTTGAATGACCTATTTCATGATAACTATTACATACATGTTTACATATAAAGATATTAAATCATATCATTCAGGCCCGTAGCCAGCAGTTTCAAAAGGGGGGTTCTTTTTCTAAAAAAGTGGACCTTATACAACGAAATCTTGGTGTATGTAGATAAAATTTTACCCAGAGGGGACCTTTTCCTGTCAAAAAGGATGGTTCTTTCCAACCCCCCTGTCACATGTATGGTCTGTTCTGCGTGAACCATCCATCCTGACCAATTGTACATGCAGCAGATGGGTGTACGAGCTCTTCTGTGAATGATCCGTTGTTATTCACCTGTACTGTGACATTCAGCTAGTTCATTTCCTACCTCGATCATTATATATTTATTATGATGGGGATATTTTAAGGTAAAATTCATGTGTTAATTGATAATTTTGATAGAGAATCAGCATCAAATTACAGTTCGACGCATGGATGAACCTACTGTGGATGGGCCGTCATTATTCAGCTGTTGGCCTACTACATTGATTTTACTAGGCTAGTGTGTTGATGTGGCCATGCACCTGAGGGAAATCGCAATAGAGGTGAACATCTAAAAGATATGAATACTTCTAAATATTATGTTTGAATTTGCAGTTTGTTTTCAACAGTGTATGTTTATTTAAGTCTAAGAATGTATTGATGAATTGATAAAGACGGACTGTACACGCCGGAAGGCTCTCAGATTTGCAGAATGGATGGTTCACACTCCGAATGATTCATGCCACACTCCCAAACACCCATGGCTACGGGCCTGTCATTTCATGTACAAGCCTTACATATTGTTTTGTGATGATTTTATAACAATGTTGAACAAGTACTTCTTTATGTTTTCATTTCATTTTATTTGATTTTTTTTAGAAAAGGGTTTTGAAAAATGGAACTACCACAGCCTGTTACTTTGCTACGATCCATGTTGATGCCACATTGAAATTATGTGATATAGTTGGTAGGGCAACTTTGTACATTATGGTGGCCCCTATTGGATATTTCGACTTTTCAAGTTTTCGACTTTTCGAGGTTTTGACTTTTTGAGTTTTCGACTTTTCGATTTTTTGACTTTTCGAGTTTTTGACTTTTCGACTTTTTTTACCAGTCATATGGCAACTGGGAAGATATTCAGAACGGAGCACGTGCGCTGAGATGACGTCGCAGTCCAAACTTTGTAAATTGCGTAACCTTCGTGGAAGTTCAAGAATTGCACTTTATTCCCTGCATAAGTACCTGGTGAAAATTAATGGTAGCAGAGTTTATTATGTGTATCATCGTGTGTGATTTACCTAGATGTAAGAAGCAATGAATGAGGTAGATCTCGACGGAGTCGGCCAACTGGTCACTTTTTGGCCATAGCAACACTAACATTTTTAGATGTCTCATGTCACAGAAACTGTGCAACTTATTACGTCAATGGAAAGTGGCTTTTTGCATGAGAAAATTGACTATCAAGTTTCATTAAAATCTAACCTGGCAACTTTTTTTACCAGTCAGAAAACTGGCATTGTGATACTAGCCGTCAGATGTCAGTGTTATTTGTTTATCAAGACAAGAGTACCCTAGGTTCTAGATTCCGGTATTGCCAGCTCGATCTTGATTTCATATGTAACCCATATCAGCAATATCAGGTATTTAGTAAAAGCGACTCCATCACAAGGTATATTTAACAAGCTAGCTTTTATGTTGCTCTGACACTCAGGGTAGACAAGAGCAACTGATAGTTAAAATGTACTTCCTGTTTTGAGAATACAGATAAGAAACATACGATGTTTGTATAAAAAATAATAATGAAAAATGAAAAAAAACTCCAATATTACTTATCATAATTACTTATTAATTACTTATAACTTACTTTGTCTTTCGTCAACTTTTTAACAATTATCGCAAGTGTATACTTATATTAAGAAAATCTATGCCAATTGGTACATGTATTTGCCTCAGTGAGACTTGTATGGAGTGACAAATGAAAGAAAAAACAACTATGTACATGTACATATACTAGTATACATGTATGTGGTAATTTATTAGCAACAAAATGGGCATTTAGACCATTATGCCCATGAAATGTACAAAAGAATTTATTGCACATTTCAGGCATGCAACCACTTCTTAAATGCTTGTACCAATTTCAACATTTAATTTAAATTTAAAATTAAAAAAAATCATATCATAATAGTAACTTCTAGCAGATGTATCTTAAATCAAGTTTTTCTAGTTAACATTTATCTGTCTAGACCGGAGTGTACCCTCAGCTAAATACTATTTTAATTTTACAGCAGCTAAATACTATTTTAATTTTACAGTACGTAACATTACAATAACCTTGATGTTCTCAGCAGATGAGATACTAGTATTAAATACTTTTTAATCAGTTGAATTTAAATTGCACTGATGTCACTTTCCATCTTTATTTATATCAGGCTTTATCTTTGGTAATAAAAAAGCAAAAAATCCATGTTGCCACCAGACAATGGCTACACACTAATATATGCATACATGATTTTAGCATATAAAATACCCCAAGCTAAATATATAATTGTACAGTAACATCTAGGCACATGAGACATTCAACCATTTGAAATTAAACAACAGACACAAAAAAATACATCAAATGTCCATCTCTTGTCTCTTCTTAACAGCAAACAGTATACGCATTCCTTATATGTCCTTTTAATAAGAAGTATGTGGCCCTTGCAATGCTGTTATCTGAAAAATGAAACAAAACTAATTTTAAAAATTATTTCACACAAATTCATATTTGAATGTTTCAAAGGTTTTATATTCCAAGGCAACTTTCCTCATTAAAATTACTTTCTTAATCATCCACCTTTACATATATATGCAATTTCTGTACTACTGTATTTCATACCTTGGCTGTCAGACCATAGCAGAATCCATAGTTTATACAAGGTATGTGGGCAGTCAGCTGTTAAGGTGTTGTTATGGTTAAGACTTAATTAAGAGTTTTATAAAAGTTGTTGAAGACCTCTCACTTCCTGTCTCTTTTCATTTACTGAAAAATATAAATAACACATTAGTAATCTGTCTTATCTAAATAAAATACAACTGATTGAACACCTGTTATAATAAAATCTTCATTTTACTCCGACAATTAAGAAGGTTCTATAGATAGTGTGTAACTCTACCCTTGACAAATCATAGCATTCGTTGAAAAATTGAGAAGTTCAGATCATGATGAAAAGTAGGTCAAAGGTCAACTTCAAGGTCTCAGTGAGATTGCCAGGATATGACCTCCTATACAAGTTCAAAAGTAACTATGGGCGTATCTCTGCCAATTTTCGAGATATAAGGGATAGAAAATTTGCAAAGTTAGTTCAAAAATATATTTTCATGTAGGATTTGTGTCTTTATTATAAAGAATAAAACTGTAAGGCACTCTTAGTTTTGCTACGTACCACTCAATGAGAAAATTACAATTAAAAAAATATGAATTAAAAATACAGTATGTGTAAAATTCACAATTGTCTGTGATTTTTCATTGAAAAAACCAAATACCTAGACTATTTGATTTTTATAAAATGTCGTTCATTTTTTAAAGTAATTTCGACTTGCCCCATTAAGAACATGCAATTTTTTTGTTGAAGACATATCTTTGTAAAAGTGTGCAACCCAAAGCAACAAATTTTTAAACCCAAAATAATTCTGTAGAAAGACCTAATGAAATACGAATATAATAAAATCAAATCAAAGCCTGTGCTCAAAGATTGTCATCTAGATTGAATCATCTATTATTGATATTTCAATCTAAAAGTGTGCAACCCAAAGCATTCATATTGTCTAACCCAAAATAATTATGTGGACACATCCACTGAAATTTTAAGGAAATCAGCTTTGACATCAAGATTGGGTCATTTATTATTGACATATCAATCTAAAAGTGTGCAACCCAAAGCATTCAAATTTTGTAGCCTGAAAAAAGTCTGTGGTAGCACCATCTGGTTGTATCATTTATTATTAACGTTCAGTTAATTAAATTTTGTAATGAAAATCTAAATATAGCAGTTATGTAAAAAGTCTGTGGTAGCACCATCTGATTGTATCATTTATTATTAACGTTCAGTTAATTAAATTTTGTTATGAAAATCCAAATATAGCAGTTATGTAAACAGTTTCATTATTATTGTTCCTCCTGATTTCTTGGAAATAAATCCTGTTCAGCAGATTTCTCAAACTATGCCAACCTAAAATGGGCAACAAAGAAAAAAAATGAGCTTGATTAGTTGTAGCTTTTCTACCATGTAGTATGAAGATCACGTTACCAATTCTAATACAGTACATGTGTATTAAATAAAATATGACTAAAAGTTTAGTTTTACTCCAAGAATCAAGAAGGCTCTATAGATAGTGGGAAATTCTACCCTTGACAAATCACAACAATCATTCAATTTTCAAGAAGAAGAAGTCGGTCCTATATTTCTTAATTAAAAATGAAGGGCATATCTAGTTTTTTTGTCGACAATAAAGCATGCCTAGCAGTTCATCATAAAAAGTAGGTCAAAGGTCTATTTAAAGGTCGCACTTAGATTGCCAGTATATGACTTACTAAACAAGTTTAATAGTAACTATGGGTGTATCTCTGCCAGTTTTGAAGATACAAGGAACAGAAAAGTTGCAAAGCTCAGTTCATGGTGAAAAGTAAGTCAAAGGTCAATTTTAAGGTCACAGTTAGATTGCCAGTATATGACTTCCTATTCAACTTCAATAGTAACTATGGACCCATCTCTGCCAGTTTTGGAGATATAAGGGACTAAATGTTACAGTTTTGGAGTTACAATAATGTGCCATAAATTTGGTACAAAAAAAATTAATTGAAATAAAGAAAAGGTCATTTTCGTTGAAATTCTTGAAATGGGAGGTGCTCATGCAGGAAATCCAGATGTTCAAATTTCATGAATGGCATTTTTGACCTGAAGTTGTCTGCCTTGCCAAGCCTTATGTTTTATTTTCCAGGGGTTCAAAATTTATTACACATTACCGTATTGCACATTTTGGTTTCACCACCACAATGTACTTTTTGATACAGAATAACTCGTAAGCCGTATGGAAATAAAAAAAATGGAGACCACTTCCGGTGTTGGGCTTGACATGCCTTACAAAATGCAAAAAATAATATGTCTCTAGCATTAACGGTTCCCGATTTAGAGACAGTTTTCAGTTTTGGTATCTTGTGGCCGCTATTCCCGTGAAAATGCACTGATTGACCCCAAACTCACGGAGCTTAAAGATCACCTGAAGGGTAGCACCTGCTAATAATATTATAGGTTAGGTCTGTGTAGTTTCTGAATATCAGTGCAAATAATTTTTTTTGTAAAAAATTTCGTTTTTTTTTTAATTTTGGCCCGTTTGACCTTGAAATAAAGGTCAAAGGTCAAATCCAAGGGCATATTTGAAATCTCCACATATGACTTCCGGTTAGCCGTCTGTAGAAAATTTTTCCCATAATTCCTTTGGTATGGTAGATAATTAGCATTTAATTTTGCCATTTTTGGACAAGGGTGCATTGCAATGAGCGCTACACCTAGACCCCAGCTCCGACAAAGCCCAAATATTACGTGGAACAAGTTGAAATTATAGATGACCTAAATCCAAGAGATGGGTATGCACCCTTGTAGTCTAGAATGAGAAGCGGTAACAGTAACATGGCGGCGAAAAAAAACAGGCATTCCTCAGTGTAACATGCTATAAAGACTAAAATGAGCAGAAAAAGAATCATTCAAAGACACCCTGGTGCATAGCACAAAATTCATGAACTACATGTAGCACTCCTATTGACAATTCAGATATAGGCAAAGCATATCAGAATCACCAGTAAGAAGTGCTTGTACATGAATTTTGCACTACCTGGTGCAAAATGAGAATAAAGGCCAAAACTCGCAGAAGTTTTCAAATTTAACTACATGTATGAGTTAGCAGGATATTTAACATTTTACAATCATATAGTTTCTCTTTAGAAGACTCACTCTCATTGCATGAATCACTTCAGGTAAATCCTTTTCAACTGATTTTCTTCTTAAGTTCAATTTGACAAGACGTTTCCTCAAGTAGGATTCACTAAGTATGAAATGAGAAAATATGTATATATACATTGTACAACAATCTAAATAACTACAAAACATGCAAATATATTTTTAACATAAAATGTATAAATATGCAAGAATGCAAATGCTTAATGAAATGGGGGGGGGGTCAGAGAGAGAGGAGGGAGCAAAGATGACATCTTTTTGCAAAATAAAAAACAAATAAATAAATATGCAAAGCCCTCAAGGCTTGAGTAAGCACTGAAAACTGGTATTACATAAGACTACATCCCGACACTCCCCCGCACCGACACTCCCGCGCATCGACGTGACCCCTTACATAATCAGTTACAATATAATTAGGTTTGATGAGTGAGGTTAAAGTTGACAGTTCTTGGTAACCTGTTATAGATAGACAGGTTGAGGTGACTGTGACTTTGGTATATATATAGTTATCTTCTTTTATATATATATATATATATATATATATATATATATATATATAAGAAAATAACTATATATATATATTAATCTAAACCTTGGAAATTTTAACTTAAAGGTCATACATTTATACCCTACATATATTTAGCCATCAAACATGTCCTACTGCTAAACACATCCAGGCTAAAAGGGTGTACCATGCTTAGGTGCAAAACATGCTTAGGAGCTAAATGCGTTGAAAAAATCAGACAAAGCAGGCACTTGGATGTTTTTACAGTGTATGTTATAATTGTGTACCTGTGTTTTTACCAAAAATAAAAACATTTCAGGTCATTTTNATGTGCAAAGCCCTTAATTAAGCACTGAAAACTAGTATTACATAAGACTACATCCGGATACTCCCCCGCACCGACGTGACCCCTTGCATAATCAGTTACAATAATTAAGTTTGATGAGTGAGGATACTAACCTTTCCAGTACCATATCATAGGGAAAGTTACACTCACCTTACATATGTGCCATGGGCAAGTGACAAAGTTTTAGCAATCTCAGTTGCTGTGTATCCTGCTTTGAAATAATAACTAGTAATAAGACTTTCCATTGCTTGCTTTCCGCGTGCCAAATGTGCAGAAGTTCCGCAGCAAAAAGCTGTCCGCAGAAAAAAGTCGAAAAGTCGCAAACTCGAAAAGTCGAAAACTCTAAAAGTCGCAAACTCTAAAAGTCGAAAAGTCGAAATATCCAATAGGGGCCACCATAGAATATAGCCAGGGCCCGATAACTGCATTATAATCTGGTAACTTCTGCAGAAGGAACATGCACAAAGACGACGAAGAGGAAGCAACATCTTTAGTTCCTTGTTTTTTTTGGAAAGCTATAGGAAAAAACATTAAATAAGTGTGGTTGATATTAGGGTCTGAATATTTTTTCAGATTACTAAAAATGTGCTTCTGAGCAAAGGTCCCTCCTGAAAAAAAAATGAAATAGATATAAGGATATATCTACCTGTGTCTTCTGCTGACATGATCTTTACATTCTCGCACTCTGCTGGCCACCCCTGTTCCACACGATCTGCTACAGGAAGACCATTCCGTCCATGAAGACCACTGCATCATGTTGTCAGCGGCTCGCTTCTTTCTCATGCCATGGATGTTATGATTATTAACCTGAAAAAGAGAAAAATTTACTTGTTATGTTATTTACAGTAAACCACACTGTAATAAAGACCCTCGAGCTGAGACCTCCTACCTCCCCCTTCAAAAACGAACTGTTTATTCCCCACGACGTTCCCCAAGACGGGAAAGTTTCATAAGCGTTAATTTGATTTGGGGATTGATTTCAGCTTTAAAAAATGTCATAATGAAAGATAGATCTGTGTTCACTTTAAGAGCAACTGATCCTACCAACTTGCAGCAATAGCCGAAAATCAAACTTGGGATCGCTGTTCGCATCATTCATGTTTCTTTTTGTTGCGCTGGGGATTCCTCTTGCTATTACGTCATACTCGAGCTAATACATTTCAAGTGAGTCGCAAATGACTCTTCCGACACATTTACTTTCAGTACTGTAGTTGTTGGGGGATAATTAACAACCTAGTTCGATCTAGAAGGATCGACCCATCTCCGAAGGGATTCTCGCCAAATTGCATTCAGATTAAGCGGCTGAGACGTCTGGCACGCCTCCTGAAGCTGCTAAACGACAGTTTTAAGTAGCTTATAACAGCTTCAGTAGGCGTGCCACGCATCAGAGCCGCTTTTAAAGCTCAATGTAATTTACCGAGAAACCCCTCGGAGATGGGTCGGTTCTGTTAGATCGATTTAGGTATGGAGATTGGGTCTTAGTAGGTCTATATAAGTTAAAGTTAGGTGAAGATCCCCAAGACGAGGGATCGACTGTGCTTCACAATTCCAACCAATAAGTTTATCTACGTCTTACCGGCCATTCAAAAGGTGTGTCTAAACTAAAAAGCTCACTGTGCCAACTGGGCGGGCCTACATGATGTCCATTAGTTTGTTCGCTTGCTGCCAGAGCATAGACAGACCCGATTCGAGCAGACCCATATCTCATATTTTAACAGACTATCAAAAGGTGTACTGCACACCAAAATTTTACTATATATAGGTCTATATATAGGCCTATATCACTATTTTTTAATTGGGATTGTTTTGGGCGGTTTTTGCGGAGGTGAGTGATTTAGGAATATTGCAAGCAGAGGAATCCGTGTATTGGTTCTGCGCTGTATAACCCACCTATTGACACTCCAACATACAGGCCTACCCCCACCCCCAATTTCCGAAAAAAAAAAAAAAAAAAAAAAAAAAAAAAAAAAAAAAAAACACTAAATGATGTGGCTCCATTGTTTCACGTAAAGAGAGTTTTTGTTCCATGGTCAACTAGAAATATTTCAGGCATCGTAAAAAACGTGACTTTCTTTGATCTTCTAATTATCGAGAACGCGCAGGAGCTGAAAGATTGAGGTGAACGGTGAAGACGTTAAATGGCACTTGTCTACCTTGATTTAATGGTGCTAGTAAACACGCGTTATTTTTAGGTATTCCCGTTTCCATCAAGAGCACTGTTTTGTCAAATTTAAAGCACTCCAGATACAAAACGTGTAAATTTAAAGGTCACAGCAGCTTTAAGATATATTTTACTGCAACTGCTTGTCCCAGTCGTAACGGTCTGCAAGCCTGTTTATAAACTATGTATACTGTACATTTGTGTATGTTATATAATTATAAAAAATCAATTATATATGTGAATTAAAACTAAATAAAGCCAAAGTCTGCATTTGATCAATACAAATATCACAAGGCAATATTCTAACTAGCGGTTCTCGGTTTCAGAGGTTGCTGACATGTCAACCGTTAAGCCGCTATAATTGGGATTCTTAACTTTAATAACTCGGGGGCAAAAAATTGAGCATAATTTAGCTGTACATATGACTGATTACGCAGAGAAAATGGTCGAAGCATCCGCATAAAACCGTTTTATAAATCGACGCCTGGGGAGTATAATTTATACTTGATTCATGTTCTTGCTTTGTTCAATGTAAAATAGAATAACATAAGTTAACTGTAAAGTACCAGTATGCTCAGTACGTTCCCAAATTCGACTGCCACTCTTGGTTCTCAGACAATTGTTTTCATGTCTACAGAGCTAAACGTCGTGAGTAGCAATAGAAATTTGAAATATGATTCGAAGTACAACACAATGTGTTTATTATGTTGTCGAAAATTCGTAGTTCGTTTCAATAACGTTGCCATTAAAAGCTTAAGGTGTGATCGGTAGCTGATGGTCAAAATCGAAAGCAGTGATCCATCATGGCGGGTTATGGGAGGGAGGGGAAAACCTTTGGGAACTTTATAGCATTGAAATGGCACTTCCGAGGTAATTGAATACGGTAAAGTTCAGCAGTCTTAGTTAAGAAAGAGGTCCATCATTTACTCGTAAATCAGGTTTTAATAGGTAATGTTCTCGGAGAGGAGCTGGCAGAAATGAAAATACACACGCTTTCAAAACCCAAAACTTAAAAACCAAATAAACTTTTATTGTATATGCATATTACATCTGGTACTGTCTGTTGAACTGGTGTACTTTCATTGAGGAAAACCCTGCCTAGTTATTTGGTAAACTTGAATTCGTAATTGTCAAACAACCCTGTTGGTTACGTTATAGAACCCACTTAGCCTATATCCGTAACTAGGCCTCCTTTTGACAATCTTTTCCTGGTTCATAACGCTTTTGTTAAGACTGTCTGTGCTACAATACACAATCACTCTTGCAAAATTCTGTGAAATAAATAACCGACGTTTATTCATGAAAACGGTCTTAATTGCTCTTTATCTAAATGGTTTTACATTGGAAATGAGGTTGATTTACTTGCTGTTACTCTAAAACTGTCATCATGGATTCATCCATTTAAAATGTGCACCGGAGACGAAGCTATCACCTACTTAAAGTTAATAGTCTTCATTATATTTTAGAGAGGGCGAGCTTCCGAATAAATCTGGAAAGGTCGATCAACATAACAAGGCATTAGTTTCTCTTTAATGTTGCGAAATAAAAGGACCTCAGCCTGACTGTGTTGTGTTCCTTGGACGCCAAATGTTTTTAATTGCAGGTTCGACCTTGCATGCATAAAATAACTTGTGAGTGACCCCTAGGGCGTTAGTCCGATATCAACCCTCTTTAGATGTGTGAAATGAAGTATTACATGCTGGAGAAATATGGTTTCCTATAACGTCTGAAACGGCCACAATAAAACGTTCCAACATTTACCCTATATAAATAATTTTTGACATAAATGGAGCTTGTCATACGTTTTTTCGCACTCATGCCGCTGTCATGGGCACTAGAAGAGGGTTGGCAAATCTCGTCTCACAATGAACGCTTTGTGGATTAGCTTTGTATTGCTTATCGAGGGTTCTTGTGACTTATACTGTTTTTGTGAATGCCAAAACGTTTACTTAAGAAACTCAGCGATGCACTACAAACATTTATTTTGGTATTACACTGTAAAGATGAACCGTGCAGGAATGCCTTTGTCTGTTATGAAATTTCAACTTTGAAAAGTGTCCAGTCGCCATTGTGGAGTAGTGTGTCAAATAAAGCAACTCACGCGTCAGCGACCTAAAATCTCTGCAACACTTTTTCGCAAATTTGCATAGGATAACAGTCAAGTGTCACATACGAGTAAATATTTTAAAAGCCGTTCACACCTGTGTTCGCTGTTGTCAATCCCGAACCTAACCTATCTTATCGAGTGCTGCTGTTGTTAAGTTCCGTTAATATGGCGATATATGTTTCGTTGCTTTAACAAAAAAAAAAAATGAGAAAAAGACGTCTCTCTCTCTCTCTCTCTCTCTCTCTCTCTCTCTCTCTCTCTCTCTCTGTGTGTGTGTGTGTGTGTGTAACACGCATGTAAGCCCATATATACATGAACANTAATGTCTTTTTATGCAAGAATGTTGTCCAACAACTGGGGCTGATACATTGTTATCTGACGTTGATCTAATTTTCAAATCAACGTTGTCAACGTTGAAGCTCAACATTGTTTCAACGTTGAAACAACATAATTTCCCGCTGGGTGGGGTTGATATAACATTGTTTTCTGACGTTGATACAACGTTGTTATCTGAGGTTGACACAACTTTCAAATCCAATGTTTATCCAATGTCTTCTCAACGTTATGGTTCAACGTTGTTTCAACGTTAAGACAACATAATTTGCCCGCTGGGTCAGTTGCTGTGTATCCAGCTTTAAAATAATATCTAATAAAATTTTCCATTGTTTAAGTCGCTTGCTTTCCGTGTGCCAAATGTGTAAAAGTTCCGCAGCAAAAAGCCGTCCGCAGAAAAAAGTTGAAAAGTCGAAAAACTCGAAAAGTCGCAAACTCGAAAAGTCGTAATATCCAATAGGGGCCACCATAGTACATAGCTGTTATTTTTAAATACTTAAAAGTTTCAAAGATTTATCAGATACCCAGTTGAGATAAAATATCATTTTATAAAATTCTTTTTACTGGACTTACAAAGTGATAAGGAAAGATTTAAAATTACATCCTCATCAGGGGACTTTTCCTGATAACATACTAGTTATCTTATTAATGGGGAAAATTGTACTGTATTTTTTTAAAGCCATAAATTCTTTAACTATGTGTGGTAGCAAGAAAATTAAAAAGCAGGCTACCCTGTTGTTCCATTTTATACAGTAGAAACAAAAAAGAAAATGCTGACCAAGATCTACTTTTTAA